TATAGATGTGCTTTACACAATTGATCTATGTATTGTGATGAATTGTATGAGCCCCAATAAATTGATTAATTTAAAAAAAAAAAAAAAGAGTTTCACTATGTCCTTCAGGGTCACTACGAGTAGAAATATAACCGAGGCCTGTTGGTTTACACTTGAATCACAGATTATTTGTATTCAAATATTACAGAAATGTCATCTATAATCTTAACGCCTGGCACTTTAATAAATTGTTGTTGTTGTTGTTGTTGCTGTTGTTGTTAGGTGCCACTGAGTCAGTGCCAACCCAGAGCAACATCATGCACAACAGAAAAAATGTTTTCAATGGCTGCTTCTTCTGAAGCTGGGAGCCAAATCCTTCTTTGTTGTCTGTTCTGAGTCTGGAAGTTCCACTTGAAACCTGTTCACTTTGCGTGACCCTGCTGGCATGTGAACTACCAGTGACACCGTGCCCAGCTTCCCAGCAACATATAAGCCACCACGGTAGGACAAACTGACAGAAAAGTGGTGGAAATGTTCCTTAGTACCGCTCTTTTCTTAATCCAAAATTTTGTTTCTTTCATAATATCTAGAAGCTTGTCAACAAACAACTTCACACTTTTCAGTCGTTGATTTGGGACAGACTCTCTAACCACTGCACAACTTTGAACAGAACAACTTTTGCAGGAAGTTCAAAAATAAAATGGTTAAAGTTTAATTATTTATAAAGGAAGTTTATAATATGCTTGATATTAAATGTTTTCATTAAAAGAGTGAGTGCAGTTTTAAATAGGGCTTGCTATAATTAACCACTTTATATTAATTTTAAAACATCCTTGTCCCCTTAATTTGAAAAATAGATCATATAAGACAATAAGAATGACCTCTGATCTACCAAACCTTGAAGAATGAAATCTGTTTAATGACTTAAGATGAGAAATACATAGAGAGATGCAAGAATTTCTCTTCACTCTCCATGGACTGTTCTATAAACATACTTATTTCTTAAAAACTTCCTTACTTTCTACTTTCACTAAAAATAAAACCTGTAATGTTCCATGTCGACCACAAGGTGTCAGTCAGTGGTAATTCAAAGTTAAAGATTATTACAATTACTCGGAGGAGAGTCAGTGCCGCACAGAGAGAAAAAGAAAATAGAAAAGCCCTACTCGCACTAGCTCGCAGTGAGAACCATCAAGAAAAATCTGGTCGGCCGTCACTTTTCCTGTGCGTTTGCCAATCTGCCTCCTCTGGGAATGTCATACACCAAATCCCCAAATGTTGCAATGCCAATCTCAGACATACACGCAGAAGCTGATTGCAACACCAAGGAGCCATCTCCCTTTCGCCCACCCACGCCTTCTTTGTTTTTTTTTCTTCACAATTTTTATTTCGGACTATTTTTCTTGTGAAGTTGATGAAGATTTACAAAACAGATCATCGGTTTTACGTGCTTTGATCCATACACATTCGGTTTCACATCATTCATTGCGACACACACACACACACCCGCTATGTACCAACACTTAGACCAGCGGTTCTTAACCTGTGGGTCGCGACCCCTTTGGGGGTCAAACAACCTTTTCACAGGAATCACTCGATTCATAACAGTAGCAAAATGATGGTGATGAAGTAGCAACGAAAATAACTTAGTGGTTGGGGGGTCACCGCCACGTGAGGAACTGTATGAAAGGGTCGCGGCATTAGGAAGGTTGAGAACCACTGGCTTAGACCAGTCTCTCCGTTTACTGCTCCATTCTTCCTCCTGTCCTATCCCTTGTGAACTTGGTGCTTAGATACCCTTTATTCGTTGTTGTTGTTGCTGCTGCTGCTGCTGCTATTTTTGCACAGTTCTTGTCAACTTTACAAAGGCGGTTGTTAAATTGGTATCACCTGTTTGGAAAACGGCATGTCACGGTGGACAGGTATCTAAACTTCAAATTGGTTGACCTGAGTTAGAATCCCAGTGTAGTTTTTTTGTTTTGCTTTGCTTTGCTTTTCATAACCCCCCATCCCCACCCCAACAACTTAAGACTCTCCAAGACTGTCCAGGCTACTTGGCGGTAGCCCTGCCTTAGATCTGTGATACTTGAAGAGGGGCAATGGCACGCTGGATCTGGGGTGTGGAAAAGGAGAACAAGAGGGGGAAGTTCCGGGCTTGTTTTCCCAGCTGAGGGGCAACTGTTGAGCCCTTTGGAGTACAAGACGTGTACCATTTAAGGGCATGTCCTTTTGCCTCCCCGTCCTTCGGATTCCTCGCCTGTAAATAACAGCCACTTAAGACCTGCTGTGAGGTTTAAAATAAGCACCTTTGCGGAAGGTTTGTTAGCACTTCCAACTCAGTCTGAAAGCACGACCCGTGAACGCCTCCCGGTGAACTTGAGGGAAACGTCAGCGGGGCTGCCTCCCTGAGCTCGCGAAGCAGAAGCCCGGCGGAGGCCGGCCCAGCCACCCCGGGGCGCATCAGCCCTGCGGAGTGTGGGTGCTGCTGCAAGGCGGGAGGGGAGGAGGGGGAGTTCGGTGCCAAGGGGGTTGGTTCAAAACCACCAGCCTCTTCTCAGATGCAGACAAGGCTTTCACCTCCTCTGAGGATGGTGCAGTTTCAGAACCCCACAGGGAAGCAGTTTTACTGTCCTCTCCGGGGCCTTTGTGTGTTGGCAGTTGTCGCTTTCTAGGGTGGCTATGAGTCGGAACTGACTCAATGGCGGTGACTTTCAGTGATTCTAATACTCGCTAAAGCCAGCTGAGGAGAGAGAGAGAGAGAGAGAGAAGAGAGGAGAGGAGAGAGAGAGAGAGAGAGAGAGAGAGAGAGAGAGA